TGTGTGTGTGATGAACGATTGTATCTCCATGTGTGGGCCGTGCTGTCAGCTCCTCAGTTCGCATCCTTTGGATCTGACCCTGAGGTTGTTGGAAATAGGAGACAGAGATTACAACAGAGATGTGCAGACAGTCTGTGCGTGCTGTGAGGCCGGCAGGGAGCGCAGCGCCATTGCGGGGCGTGGGTCGTGCTGGGGTTGAGCCTGAGCCTGCGGCAGCACTGGGGCTGAAGCTGAGGCTGGGGCTGGGGCTGGGACAGGCGGCGTGGTGTTGTGCAGACGCCCGCGTTTCCCGCACAGGCTGCAAGATCAAGGCGCTGCGGGCCAAGACCAACACGTACATCAAGACGCCGGCGCGCGGCGAGGAGCCGGTGTTCGTGGTGACGGGGCGCACAGAGGACGTGGCCGCGGCCAAGCGGGAGATCCTGTCGGCGGCCGAGCACTTCTCGCTGATCCGGGCGTGGCGCGGCGGGACCGCGGGGCCCGGCGGGCCGTGCCGCCCGCCCGCGCCGCCGGGGCACACCACGGTGCGGGTGCGGGTGCCGTACCGCGTGGTGGGGCTGGTGGTGGGCCCCAAGGGCTCCACCGTCAAGAGCATCCAGCGGCGGACGCGCACGTACATCGTGACGCCCGGCCGCGGCGAGGAGCCCGCGTTCCAGGTGACGGGCGCGCCCGAAGACGTGGAGCGCGCGCGCCAGGAGATCGAGATGCACGTCGCCGTGCGCGCCGGTGCCTTCTTGGAGCTCGGCCACGATGGCGGCGCCGACGGCACCGACGACGTCTGGCCGGGTGCCCGCGCCCGCTCCAGGATGTTCTCCAGCTACCGCAACGACAGCTCCGGCTCGCTGGGCAGCGGCTCCACCGACTCCTACTTCAGCCCCGCCAGCCCCTTCGGCACCGGCGGCTTCTGGATCGGGGAGGCGCCGCCGGCCGCGGGCGCGGAGGAGCTGGCAATGGACTCCCCTGCCGACGAGCCCCTGCCCGCGCGCTCCCCGACCGCATGGGCGCCCTTCGAGCCTGCGGCCGCCCTGTCCGGCAGCCGGCCCCCCACGCCCCGCCTGTCGCCCACCTTCTCCGAGAGCCTGGAGCACCCGCTGGCCAGGTGGGCCCGCAGCGAGCCGCCGGGCTCCGGCCGCCGGCCCGAGCTGCCCGTCTACATCCCCGCCTTCTCCAACGGCACCAGCAGCTACTCCTCGTCCAACGGCGGCTCCGCGTCCAGCTCGCCGCCCGAGTGCCGGCGCCGGCACGACTGCGTCGTCTGCTTCGACGGCGAGGCCGCCGCCGCCCTCGTGCCCTGCGGCCACAACCTCTTCTGCCTGCGGTGCGCCGGCCGGATCTGCGCCCGGGACGCGCCCGCCTGCCCCGTGTGCCGGACCGCGGTCACTCAGGCCATCCGCAGCTACTCCTGAGCCCGCGCCGCGCCGCCGACACCGGCCGGGCTCTGCGGCTCCGCGCAGGCAGCGGGGTTCAGCAGAGAGGGATTGGGGATACCAATCCCCGGTATCCCTGGTGAGTGAGGGGAGGTTTCATCCATTACACACAGCTGAAAACTGGGCGTTGCAAAGGGCCTCTGCCACGGCCAGGCCTCTGCGCCTGACAGGGATCACCTGCTGCAGGGGGCTGGGGCACCGTCAGCCACCCACACTTCCAATGCTGCCTTGTCTACACTGCCAGTGCTCAAAACAGGTTTGGGGAAACTCCTTTCCTTCCGCTCTCTACGCTCCAGCACAGCAAACACCTTCTCCGTCGGAGGCGGCGCCGTTGGAGTTACCGGGATGGCCAAGCCACGGGCAGGGACGGGAACAGCCCCAGGCAGGGCCAGGCACAGCCCCGGGCAGGGCCTCGGCACCGGCGGCTTCTGGATCGGGGAGGCGCCGCCGGCCGCGGGCGCGGAGGAGCTGGCAATGGACTCCCCTGCCGACGAGCCCCTGCCCGCGCGCTCCCCGACCGCATGGGCGCCCTTCGAGCCTGCGGCCGCCCTGTCCGGCAGCCGGCCCCCCACGCCCCGCCTGTCGCCCACCTTCTCCGAGAGCCTGGAGCACCCGCTGGCCAGGTGGGCCCGCAGCGAGCCGCCGGGCTCCAGCCGCCGGCCCGAGCTGCCCGTCTACATCCCCGCCTTCTCCAACGGCACCAGCAGCTACTCCTCGTCCAACGGCGGCTCCGCGTCCAGCTCGCCGCCCGAGTGCCGGCGCCGGCACGACTGCGTCGTCTGCTTCGACGGCGAGGCCGCCGCCGCCCTCGTGCCCTGCGGCCACAACCTCTTCTGCCTGCGGTGCGCCGGCCGGATCTGCGCCCGGGACGCGCCCGCCTGCCCCGTGTGCCGGACCGCGGTCACTCAGGCCATCCGCAGCTACTCCTGAGCCCGCGCCGCGCCGCCGACACCGGCCGGGCTCTGCGGCTCCGCGCAGGCAGCGGGGTTCAGCAGAGAGGGATTGGGGATACCAATCCCCGGTATCCCTGGTGAGTGAGGGGAGGTTTCATCCATTACACACAGCTGAAAACTGGGCGTTGCAAAGGGCCTCTGCCACGGCCAGGCCTCTACGCCTGACAGGGATCACCTGCTGCAGGGGGCTGGGGCACCATCAGCCACCCACACTTCCAATGCTGCCTTGTCTACACTGCCAGTGCTCAAAACAGGTTTGGGGAAACTCCTTTCCTTCCGCTCTCTACGCTCCAGCACAGCAAACACCTTCTCCGTCGGAGGCGGCGCCGTTGGAGTTACCGGGATGGCCAAGCCACGGGCAGGGACGGGAACAGCCCCAGGCAGGGCCAGGCACAGCCCCGGGCAGGGCCGGGAACAGCCCCGGGCAGGGCCAGGGAAAGCCCCGGGCAGGGCCAGGCACAGCCCCGGGCAGGGCCGGGAACAGCCCCGGGCAGGGCCAGGGACAGCCCCAGGCAGGGCCAGGAACAGCCCCGGACAGCCCAGGCAGGGCCGGGTGTCTGAGGGCCAGGGCTCTCAGGGGTTGTGATTACCATGGGAGCGGCCAGGCTGCGCTGGGCAGTGCGTCCAAGGATGCTGTCCGAGGGTCCTATCCGAGGGTCCTGTCCCAGGATCCTGTCCGAGGAGCCTGTCCGAGGGTGCTGTCCGAGGGTCCTGTCCCAGGATCCTGTCCGAGGATCCTGTCCGAGGGTCCTGTCCCAGGATCCTGTCCGAGGATCCTGTCCGAGGGTCCTGTCCGAGGTCCGTGATCCCCCGGGTGAGGGTGCTGACATTCCGCTTGTCCAATCAAGCTGTTCCGAAATCACCTCCTGGCGAGCCTGCAGATCAAAATGTGAAGCATCGTTACGTCCAGTCCTCGTCTTGCACATAATTAAGATTTATTTTTAGTAAGGAGAAGGAAAATCGGGGAGTTGCCTGCGTGCCCTGGTGGTGTGGTTAATTTCTCAGTGACTGTGACCCTGCAATCAGTTTGCTTCATATCAAAAATGTCTTTCCAATCACTGGTTTAAAGAAGAAAAAGGAAAAGAGTCTCTGTGGATGTTTCCAGCTCCTCCATCCTCAGTATGTTCCCAAATCTGTGCTGGCATATGTTGAAGCAACGAAAGCAAACGGAACAATGTGAAAAACCAAAACAAAAAAAAGAAAGAAAAAAAGAAAGAAAGGAAAAAAAAATGTATATACCAAATGGAGTTCTGGTGGATTTTTTTCTATTTTTGTTTTGGAAGCATTATTTTCCCAAGACGAAGCTTTTTTCTCAGTATAACAAAAAAAAAAAAAGACAAACTTGAAGAGTTATATTTTGTATTAAAAGTTTACAGATAACGGTTTTTATTTTGTGATTCCAAGTCTGAGAGCTGCCCTGAGGGCAAGGCCTGTCCTGCACCGCTCCGGGGCTCCGTGGGCATGGCCATGTCCGAGCGTGGCTGTGTCCCAGCAGGGTCAGTGTCCCAGCAGGGTCAGTGTCCCAGCAGGGTCAGTGTCCGAGCAGGGTCAGTGTCCGAGCACGGCCGTGTCCGAGCACGGCCATGTCCGAGCACGGCCGTGTCCGGCCGCACCGCACAGCCACCCCCAGCACCACCCAGGGGCGGCCGAGGCTGGTTTCGCATTTGCTAATTTTGCTACACTTTTTGTTATGTATATGTAGGGGTTCCCGATCCGATTTGAAGAAAGTTATAAAAAATCCATATATTATATGATAAAGGGCCTTGAACTTGTGACGGCCAAAGCACTGATACTATATATTTGCTGCAAAGAGAATTACAAGAGTTTTATTTTTCTGATGTTAAAAATGTTACTTAATAAAGACTTGTTTCCACTAACTTGAACTTGTTCATCTGGGAGGAGGATGGGAGCAGGCAAAGCCCAAAATGCCCCGGGGGGTTCCCTGTGGGAGGGATTTGGGTCTGGGGGCTCTGGGTCTGTCCCGTGCGGTCTGAGGGATTTGGGTCTGGGGGCTCAGTGTGTGTGACAGGGATTTGGGTCTGGGGGCTCTGGGTCTGTCCTGTGCTGTCCCGTGCTGTCCCGGGCTGTCCCTGGCTGTCCCGTGCTGTCCCGGGCTGTCCCGTGCTGTCCCGGGCTGTCCCTGGCTGTCCCGTGCTGTCCCGGGCTGTCCCTGGCTGTCCAGGGAGGCACAGGCCGGGCTCAGGGATGGCCGGGCCAGGCTCAGGGATGGCCGGGCCGGGCTCAGGGATGGCCGGGCTGGGCTCAGGGAGGCACAGGCCGGGCTGAGGCTGGATTCAGGGATGGCCCCGGGGGGCTCCATGACTCGGTGAGCTCCGCGCGGGGCTGGGAGCAGGACGAAGCCGCCGAAGGAGGGCTGGACTTCGCTCTCTGAGCCCGGGCATGGCGGAGGAGCCACGGGTGGCTGAGGCTGAGGCTGCACAAAGCCAGCGAGCGAGAGAAAACCAGAAATCCAGGAAATGTCACGGATCAAGGCAACCATGGGAGGGCCTGGAAGCCCCCAGGAGAACCACAGAACCACAACAGCTTCTAACCTGGAAAAGCCCACCAAGGCCACGAGTCCCACCCTGCCACCAGCACTGCCAGGGCCACCGCTGACCCCTGTCCCAAGTGCCACATCCACCTGGCTGAAGGGATGGCACTCACAGTGCCCGGGGCAGCTGTGCCAGGGCTGGACAGCCTTTCCATGGAAATTCCTGCTGTGCCCACCCTGAGCTGCCCTGGCGTTACTCATTACCCTCCTGCTGCCCCTGTTCCTGGGCTGCTCCACCCCGCACTGACCGCAGGCTGCTCCGCTTTCCCCTCTCCTGCCACTGCCACCACCTGCCAGCTGTCCCCAGGCCACCGCAGCCGCTCCCGCGCTGTCCCTGCGGTGTCCCCGCTGCCAGGGCAGCCCCAGCGCCCAGCCCTGCCACCCTCGGGCCCGCGGTGTGCCCACCCTGCCCCGGGCCGGGCCGTGCCGGAACAGATGTCACTGTGAATGTCACTGTGAATGTCACTGTCAATGTCACTGTGAATGTCACTGTCAATGTCACTGTCAATGCCACTGTCAATGTCACTGTCAATGCCGATGTCAAAGTCACTGTGAATGTCACTGTCAATGCTGCTGTCAATGTCACTGTGAATGTCGCTGTGAATGTCACTGTCAATGTCAATGTCAATGTCACTGTCAATGTCACTGTCAATGTCACTGTCAATGCCGATGTCAAAGTGACTGTGAATGTCACTGTGAATGGCACGGTGAATGTCACGGTGGATGTCAGTGTCAATGTCACTGTCAATGCCGATGTCAAAGTGACTGTGAATGTCACTGTGAATGGCACGGTGAATGTCACGGTGGATGTCAGTGTCAATGTCACTGTCAATGCCGATGTCAAAGTCACTGTGAATGTCACTGTCAATGTCACTGTGAATGTTACTGTCAATGTCGCTGTGAATGTCACTGTCAATGTCAATGTCAATGTCACTGTCAATGCCGCTGTCAATGTCACTGTGAATGTCACTGTCAATGTCGCTGTCAATGTCGCTGTCAATGTCACTGTCAATGTCACTGTCAATGTCACTATCAATGTCACTGTCAATGTCACTGTGAATGTTACTGTCAATGTCACTGCCAATGTCACTGTCAATGTCACTGTCAATGCCGCTGTCAATGTCACTGTCAATGTCACTGTCAATGTCACTGTCAGTGTCACTGTCAATGTCACTGTCAATGTCACTGTCAGTGTCACTGTCAATGTCACTGTCAATGTCACTGTCAATGTCACTGTCAATGCCGCTGTCAATGTCACTGTCAGTGTCACTCTCAATGTCACTGTCAATGTCACTGTCAATGTCACTGTCAATGTCACTGTGAATGTCACTGTCACTGTCAATGTCACTGTCAATGTCACTGTGAATGTCACTGTCAATGTCACTATCAATGTCACTGTCAATGTCACTGTGAATGTCACTATCAATGCTGCTGTCAATGTCACTGTCAATGTCACTGTCACTGTCAATGTCACTGTCAATGTCACTGTCAGTGTCACTGTCAGTGTCACTGCCAATGTCACTGTCAATGTCACTGTCAATGTCACTGCATTGCCCGTGACAAAGTGCTGCGCCCGGACTCCTCAAACCGGCAGAACAGCCCCAAAATGCCAGGCGCCGCCCGGGCTGTCCCCACGGCCGGCTGGCGTCCCGCGGGGACCGGGACTGGAGCAGGCCGTGCCCTCGCCACCGCCGCTCGCTCCTGAAGCCACCAGGGCCCCACACGCTCACCCCCCTTCGGGCCCCTTGGCCCCGGGGCGACACCGCGCTGGCCCCGGGGGGACTTCGGCCCCTCCGCTCCCCAGAGCCGCCGCTGCCGGGATGGCAGATGGAGCACTAAGGACAGCCAGTGTCACCCGCCCCGCCGGCCCCAGGGGACGCAGAGCCCACCAGGACATGGCCACTGCTCCGGGACAGCGCCGGGGCTGCCAGGACAGCCAGCCCTGCCCGGGACAGCGAGCTCCCGCCGCTCGGGATATCCCCTCGGGAATGAGAACAAAACAGCGTGGGCAGGGGGCTGGCACAGGGACAGGAATGTCCCCAGCCCCTCGGGGGTGGCAGGGGTGTCCCCAGGCAGCACCAACACAAGCCTGGACGGTGCTGCGGCCACCACCGGGACACCGCTGTGGGACTGCAGCTCCCGCTAGCCCGGGGTGGCTCTGGTGTCCCCTGTCCCCAGCCCTTCCAGGCCCTGCCCCGAGCGGCTCCGAGGGCTCTGCCGCAGTGCAACTGCGGGCCAGTAAAAACGGACAAAAAAAAAGACATTTGAGGAAACCCCAAACCACGCAAAACCGCCACGCAGAGCCTTGATTTTGGCAGGATTTCAGACGTCCCAGCTCACTGCGCAGCTGCTCCCCAGCCGCCGGTGCGCCCGCGGGGCTGAGCTGTCCCTGCGGCTGCCCGGCCCCGCAGCCCCGGCCGGCTGCTCCTCCCGCTCCCCCAGGAGGGTCACAGCTCAGCGCGGGTGACATGTGGCACATGTGGCACCTGTGGCACTGCAGATGGCCGGCGGGGCCCCACAGCACGGCTGGGCCAGCGGATCTCCCGGGACACGGGCTGTCCCGGCAGCCGGGCCGGGCTCGGCGGGGAGCAGCGGGCAGCCCGGCACAGCCCCGTGCTCAGCCCCGCTCCATCCTCATCCCCAGCTCCACACCCTTTCCCAGCCTCCATCCTCATCCCCAGCTCCACACCCATTCCCCGCCTCCATCCTCATCCCCAGCTCCACTCCCATTCCCCGCCTCCATCCTCATCCCCAGCTCCACACCCTTTCCCCAGCCCCGCGCTCATCCAGCCCTGTGTTCACTGTTAAAAATAGGTTACAAACTGTTGTAAAATAGTTGATAATTGTTAAGCATGTACTGTTAATTTGGTTATTGTAAAAGGGGTTAAAATGGTAGTTAGAGGAAATACGGCACTCAGCGTACCGTATTACCCCTAAGTAAAGTGCATCACCCCCAAGGGAAACGAGCCCGCCTGGACAGAACTGTAATGGCCTTAAACCTTCATGCAAATGAAGGATCCAAAAGGAAACCAATCCAAAGGAACAAAAAACAGGACAAAAAGGGGCTTTTGACGCAGTGAATCTGTGCGGCTCCATCGGGGACACCAGGGACATGGCTGCTGAGAAGCCCCAGCGCCGGCGCTGCAGCATCCTCGACGGGACTGGTCCTGCTCGGCCCGCGGGCCCCCTTGCTTTAGGCCTTCCTTTTTATTACAATAAATGCTGAAATCACTCTAGTACCGGGAGCCTGCTCTCGTTTCTAACACTCACCCCAGCTCCACGCTCATCCCCAGCCCTGCGCTCACCCCAGCTCCATGCTCATCCCCAGCTCCACGCTCATTCCCAGCTCCATGCTCATCCCCAGCTCCATGCTCATTCCCCAGCTCCACGCTCATTCCCCAGCCCTGCGCTCACCCCAGCTCCATGCTCATCCCCAGCTCCACGCTCATTCCCAGCTCCATGCTCATCCCCAGCTCCACGCTCATTCCCCAGCCCTGCGCTCACCCCAGCTCCATGCTCACCCCAGCTCCATGCTCATCCCCAGCTCCACGCTCATTCCCAGCTCCATGCTCATCCCCAGCTCCACGCTCATTCCCCAGCTCCACGCTCATTCCCCAGCCCTGCGCTCACCCCAGCTCCACGCTCATTCCCAGCTCCATGCTCATCCCCAGCTCCACGCTCATTCCCCAGCTCCATGCTCATCCCCAGCCCCACGCTCATCCCCCAGCCCTGCACTCACCCCAGCTCCATGCTCATCCCCAGCTCCATGCTCATCCCCAGCTCCATGCTCATCCCCAGCTCCATGCTCATCCCCAGCTCCTGCACTCCCCCCAGCTCCATGCTCATCCCCAGCTCCATGCTCATCCCCAGCTCCATGCTCATCCCCAGCTCCACACTCCTTCCCCCGCCCCGTGCCCACCCCAGCGCTGTGCTCATCCCCAACCCCAAGCAGCCTCTCCCAGCAGGGCCAGCACCGCTTGTCTCTGAAGTGTGTGTGTAGGCCAAGGAAAGAAAGGAGGCGTGAGCACACCCTGAGGCCCCGCAGGGCGGAGGGCAGCAGGGCTGGGGCCGCAGCCGCTGGTGCCGATGCAGCTCCGTGCGGGTCACTCCAGAGCCGGGCACGGCTGAGCCCAGCACGGCGGCGGCGGCTGCAGCAGGGCAAGGGGAACAGTCCTGGCGAGGTCAGCAGCCAAACGGGCTGGGAGCAGGCAGAGGGACAGGACCGGGCAACCGAACAGGAATCCGTGGGGAGAACTGGAGGATCCGATGTTCCTGCAGACCCAGGAGGATGCTCCAGGGGATGGCACCACGAGGGAGGGTCACAGCTCTCAGCCTGGCACCTGTGGCCCCTGGTGATGCCCCCAGCAGTGCCTGTTATGAATAAAAAGTTATCTATTTTTGTTTAAGGTTACAGAGCAAAAAACCGGTGGGACCAGTTGCTGTTAAATTAGCTTAATTGTTAAAGAGTTCTTTAATTGCCCGTCAATGTTTGGTGATTTAGCCATTGTCCTCCCAATGCTTGCCCCGGAGCTACACCTGGACACGCAGCCCAGGAGAATAGGAGTGGCCTGAGACCACGTACGCAAATGAGAAATGCGCCGCGCCAAAATTTTCCCGTTTTCTAGGAAAACCCCTAAAAACAACGAACCAATATAGAATTAGGGGACCCTAGGTGATGTCTAAGGACGGGCGTGAAGTCCAGTGCCTGCTTGGATCCTTTTTGCTTCACACCCTGACCTGAAAGGATGTTCACTAAGGAGGGGACCTGGAGTGTTGGACCGAAAAGCAGGAATCTGCGGATCTCCCGTGAGGACGCAGTCCCCAGCTCTGCCTGCAGACCAGCGGACAGAGCTGCATCATCATCATCATCATCACCCTCCTCCTCCGTGCCACTCTTGGGGACAGCGGCGGCGTGGGCGCGACCCGTCGATTTCTCCCCACCTGAGCTGAATCTCTTTAATAAAGGCATTGAAAAGGAGAAAGATCTCCTGCCCCATTTATGTCAGTGCCCCCGTCCCGGCACGGAGCAGGGCCACTCACAGCAGCCCAGCTCCCCTGCTGGACACCGGGCTTGGCTCTGGCCTCTGGCACTGACCCCTGGAACTGCAGCCCTGGCCCGAGCTCTGACCCCCTCCATAAACCGGGAAAATGAAACAAGCAAGCCGAGACCTGAATCTTTAACTTTTTTAATCAAAAACATACTCTGTTACAGAATTTCAGGAAAGTGAGCTACAGTATATTATCCACAAACTAGGTCTAATGAAAAACATACAGGAAGCTACAAAGGAACTACTGGGAATTCTGTTGACCGCTTATCAAAAGGCAATGGCTGAAGAAAAGAAATGCTTAACTAGGTTTCCACGCCTGAAAAACCCTCCCAGGGTGAGTTTTGGGTTATGGGTACTTCACAGCTCTCAATCCAGCTGAATCACAGCTTTGGGGTGCTACCAAACCTCACCAGAAGGACAGAAAAACTTCCTGGAGCAAGAAAGCACCGGCTGGGGCTGGGGTGCGAGTCCTGCAGTCCGGGAGCGACGCGAGGCACGGCAGAGCCCAGCCTGGGGCGCTCTCGGGCGGGCCCTGCTGTCACAGCTCTGGGTCACCCCCGTGGGGACGCCTCAAGTTTGAGCTTTCCTGTTTTTCCAGAGGCTGCACTGACTTCATCTGAAGCAGTGACAAGTTCTCGCCAGAGTTCAGTCAGACAAAACAATCCCAGAACCAAGGACGCTGCTGTAGCCTCAGGCCCAAAAAGTGCAAACCACGGGGAACTGAGGAGAGCAAGCTGGGAGGATGGGACTGCATCACCTTGAGCTGGAACTGGACAACTGATCCCAACATGGAAATGAGCCAAAACTTACAGAAGTGTGAAAACTCGGGATGAGGATCCATCCTGGGTGGAGCCAGGGTTGGACAGGGACAGAGGAGTGAGACAGCCCCTCCTGAGGGGCCCTTCTCTGGGGAGAGACCAGAGATGTCTGCAGGCTGGGGCACCCAGGGGTGATGACACCCTGCAGCAGCCAGGCTGGGGCACCCAGGGGTGATGACACCCTGCAGCACACAGGGGTGATGACACCCTGCTGGGGCACCCAGGGGTGACGACACCCTGCAGCAGCCAGGCTGGGGCACCCAGGGGTGGTGACACCCTGCAGCAGCCAGGCTGGGGCACCCAGGGGTGGTGACACCCTGCTGGGGCACCCAGGGGTGGTGACACCCCGCAGCAGCCAGGCTGGGGCACCCAGGGGTGATGACACCCTGCTGGGGCACCCAGGGGTGGTGACACCCCGCAGTGAGCAGCAGGAGCAGGAGCTCGGCGGCTCCCGGGCAGAAGGGAGCCGGTGCCCCCGAGCTGCAGGGGGGTCTCAGGGCGAGGCCCAGAGCTGTCCCTGCCGTGCTCACCCCAGCTCTCCAGGGCCCCAGCACAGTGCTCCCACCCACAGAAGGGATGCAAGGAATGGTTTTGTCTCCGTCCGGGGGGATTCCTGCTGGAGTTCAGCCCTTCCCAACGTTCCAGTGGGGAGGTTTCCTCTGCTGCACCTGCAGTGAGTTCAGTGTGAAAGCCCTCCCTCTCCACACTCACAGTGATGGGATAAAGCCATTAAACCTCCCAGCGCCAATCCCAGCTCCCATTAAACCTCCCAGCGCCAATCCCAGCTCCCATTAAACCTCCCAGCGCCAATCCCAGCTCGGCAGCACAAAGGGAAAGCACAAAGGGGCAGAGCCCCCACGGGAGCAGCAGGGCCAGCAGGCGGTGAAAGCTGAGTAAATCCCGGTTGGGCCACCTGAACCGAGCCATTCCGGGCTGGAGACGCCCAGCCTGGGGCGCTCTCGGGCGGGCCCTGCTGTCACAGCTCTGGGTCACCCCCGTGGGGACGCCTCAAGTTTGAGCTTTCCTGTTTTTCCAGAGGCTGCACTGACTTCATCTGAAGCAGTGACAAGTTCTCGCCAGAGTTCAGTCAGACAAAACAATCCCAGAACCAAGGACGCTGCTGTAGCCTCAGGCCCAAAAAGTGCAAACCACGGGGAACTGAGGAGAGCAAGCTGGGAGGATGGGACTGCATCACCTGAGCTGGAACTGGACAACTGATCCCAACATGGAAATGAGCCAAAACTTACAGAAGTGTGAAAACTCGGGATGAGGATCCATCCTGGGTGGAGCCAGGGTTGGACAGGGACAGAGGAGTGAGACAGCCCCTCCTGAGGGGCCCTTCTCTGGGGAGAGACCAGAGATGTCTGCAGGCTGGGGCACCCAGGGGTGGTGACACCCTGCAGCAGCCAGGCTGGGGCACCCAGGGGTGATGACACCCTGCTGGGGCACCCAGGGGTGGTGACACCCCGCAGCAGCCAGGCTGGGGCACCCAGGGGTGATGACACCCTGCTGGGGCACCCAGGGGTGGTGACACCCTGCTGGGGCACCCAGGGGTGGTGACACCCCGCAGTGAGCAGCAGGAGCAGGAGCTCGGCGGCTCCCGGGCAGAAGGGAGCCGGTGCCCCCGAGCTGCAGGGGGGTCTCAGGGCGAGGCCCAGAGCTGTCCCTGCCGTGCTCACCCCAGCTCTCCAGGGCCCCAGCACAGTGCTCCCACCCACAGAAGGGATGCAAGGAATGGTTTTGTCTCCGTCCTGGGGGGATTCCTGCTGGAGTTCAGCCCTTCCCAACGTTCCAGTGGGGAGGTTTCCTCTGCTGCACCTGCAGTGAGTTCAGTGTGAAAGCCCTCCCTCTCCACACTCACAGTGATGGGATAAAGCCATTAAACCTCCCAGCGCTAATCCCAGCTCCCATTAAACCTCCCAGCGCTAATCCCAGCTCCCATTAAACCTCCCAGCGCTAATCCCAGCTCGGCAGCACAAAGGGAAAGCACAAAGGGGCAGAGCCCCCACGGGAGCAGCAGGGCCAGCAGGCGGTGAAAGCTGAGTAAATCCCGGTTGGGCCACCTGAACCGAGCCATTCCGGGCTGGAGACAGCTCGGCATCCCTGGATCCCTGCTCAGGGTGCACTGGGATCACCTCGGCAGCTCTTTCTCAGCTCTCAGACACAAAGGAAGCCTGGCAAGAACTCAGTGCTGCTGCTGCTGAGCAGGTTCCAGCCCACGATGTGCTGCCTTGTCATAAACATACAAAAGTTAATTTAACAGCATATGAAAAACTAAGAATAAGATTGTCTCACGTTCTTTAACAGCTGCAAGTGCACCCTTTTGGGAGCTGCTTGGTGGAGAGGATGAATGCCTTCTCAGCTTTTACTGCCTCTGACTTCTCCTGACATAAAAACAGTGATTTCTTGTAATAAAATCACCAGACATTGTTTTGCTCTGTTCTGAACAATTTGGGCCATCCATTCATTTTGCAGGTGGAGACCTGCAAAACATCTGTAAAGAACCTTTCCTTAACGAGTGAATTCTTTCAGACCGTAACTCCAGCGGGAGGAGCAGCAGGCTGCAGCAGCCTCTCCCTGTTCTGCCCAGGACTGGCACAACCACAAGGCCAGCCAGGGGTGCAGCTTTCCTGCCAGGCAGCCTCGCAGAGCCAAGCAGGTTCGGGGCCAAACCCGGGCGAGGAGCAGACACTGCCCTTCCCAAGGATCGGGGCTGCCACCTGCCAGGGGACAACAGGTGGACCCATGAAGAGCCAGCCTGAGGGAGGCAACAGGGAAAATGATGAAATTATGAAAACGGGGGAAAATGGATGAATTTGTGGCCGTGGCTCTGGAGCCACCCCCGCCTCCCGTGCTCCCGGCTGCCTCCGCAGGAATTCCAGCGTGCGGGAACAGCGACACCCGAGCAGTGCCGGAGCCCTCGGGGTCCTGAGCCGCTGCGAGGGGCTGGGCAGGAAGGCCCCGAGCGATCCCTGCAGGATTCCTGCGCTGCTGCAGCTGCGCTGACAGCGCTGCAAGACCCCGCAGGGCCAGGAGGGCTCCTGCTCCGTGTGTGCCAGGAGGGCTCCTGCTTCCTGCTCCCTCTGTGTGCCAGCAGCTCCTGCTCCCTGCTCCCCCTGTGTGCCAGCAGCTCCTGCTCCCTGCTCCCTCTGTGTGCCAGCAGCTCCTGCTCCCTCCGTGTGCCAGCAGCTCCTGCTCCCTGCTCCCTCCGTGTGCCAGCAGCTCCTGCTCCCTGCTCCAGGAGCAGCTATCCCCAGGAGCTCCTGCTCCCTGCTCCCTGTGTGCCAGCAGCTCCTGCTCCCTCCGTGTGCCAGCAGCTCCTGCTCCCTGCTCCCTCCGTGTGCCAGCAGCTCCTGCTCCCTGCTCCAGGAGCAGCTATCCCCAGGAGAGGAGCAGTGAAGGCAGGAGCAGCAGCGGGCTCGGGGGCAGCACACATCACAGCAAAGCGAGCTTGGTGCGTGGGTTTCCATCCTTTATTGGTGCTGTAGCCAGGGGAAGGAGAGTGTGTGCCCTGCAGCTGCTCCCTGCACACAGCATCGCCACTCGCCCACGGCACAGGGCCGAAACAACCAGGAGGTACAAAAACAGGTTTGCCATCTTGCCCTGAGTGGGAATGGTGAACAGATACAAAAACCCAGTGCTAAATGCCGATGGATTGCCGTAGACACTCGAGTGGAAGGAGTCATGCAGATTTTCCATGGTACATGCCGGGGTTGGGGTGAAACCACAGAAGTCAGTAGCAATGGTGGAAACACGCTCCTGCCACTGGCACTCACAGCCCCACACAGTGGCAACGCTGCGGGCTGGGGGTCTCACCTCAAACCCAGTGCCAGCACTGAAACTATCCGTTTCCTTTAGTGTTTTACAACTCACATGGTAGCAGAAATAAAAATCTAGGATGACTTTTTTCCTTTTGAAAACGAAAGAATTTTTTGATCAATGCCAACAACGTATGTGTCATCCCCGCACTTTTTGGCAGCTGCTAGGCTTTAACCTGGAAAAATCGTAACACAATCATCAACAAAATAAAGAAGTCTTCTGTTAACTACTGTTCCCTAAAAAGAACATCACAAATCAGTTGGAATTTTAAAGTCGCTACAAGGTAAATGTTTTTAACTACTAGAAGGAATTTTCAGATATAAATATATATATAATATATATTCTGCATACAAAAGGCTCCCGTGAGGCTGATCACCAAGATGCCACCGTAGGGAAGGAGAGTTTCAAAGGGAACAAACCCAACACTGTGAAGTCTCTATAAATCGTTTACCTTCCACTGTAGGCCCTGTATTATCACTACTGAGTTCTGGAAACAACTGAAATCCAAACCCTGCACGCTCAGACGCTTTCTGCTAAGAGCAAGGCGGCAAACACATTTTTAAAACCTGTTTTCAGAAGATTAAGCAGAAGGGAAGTAAAATATATCTCCAGGTTATAAACAGAGGGGTATGTTACAAGGCGGCCTGGCGGGGTCAGTCCAGGGGCTGCGGGTCGGCGATGGGCATGGTGTGCAGCACCTCGTCCAGCAGCTGCAGCGCGCGGTGCAGGTGGATCTCGATCCAGCACGGCGTCTCCTTGATGCTCTGCCGCGGGTAGTCGGGGCCCCAGCCCTTGACGAAGCTCATCCTCAGGATGCACAGCCGCCGCAGGTCGTCCACGCCGATGCCGGCCGCGGCCGACAGACCTGCGGGGAGCGGCGTCAGCGAAAGGGCTGCAGGCACAGCCTGGCAGCTCCTGCATGCAGGGCACTGAATCACCCACTCCTTTGCACTCCCTACAGTTTCAGTTTGCACAGCATTCCGCAACCTCCAGCAGGTGCTGAGACACAAAACTCTGCAGCCAGAACCATGGAATGGCTTTGGATTAGAGGCACCTCCGAGCCCGCCCATGGCAGGGACACCTTCCCCTGTCCCAGGCTGCTCCAAGCCCCATCCAGCCTGGCCTGGAAAACTCCCAGGGATCCAGGGGCAGCCCCAGCTGCTCTGGGCACCCTGGGCCAGGGCCTGCCCACCCTGCCAGCCAGCAATTCCTGCCCAAGATCCCACCTATCCCTACACAGAGCAGACGGGATGAAACCCAAATGCTTTACACGACACAACACACTCAAATCACACTTAGGAAATCCAGTCACAAAATGCTTATTTCTGAGGTTTGCCAAATGCTGCATTTCAGTGTGAGAACTCAGACTGGGCATCTGCAGGAAGCTGGATTAAAACAACACCACTCCCCTGACAGAGCAGAAAGATAAATACAGCTGGCAAATTTCAAATCACAGGCAAGTCTAAGAAAAAAAGTGACAAACTTTCCTCAAAATGCCCTTAACAATTTGCAGGACAGCTGAAGGGAGCCGCAGGGCAGGTCCAGGAATCCTGCAGCACACAGAGCAGCCTGAGTCATGCAAGCACTTACACCTCCAAAAGTACTTCGGAGCAATTTCAAGAATCCAGAATTTAGGAACTAAGACAACACTGGCCCAGGATAATAACAATAAAAAAGAGAGAGAAAAAACCACCCTCAGCCTTCCTCAAGATCCTGCCAGCCCTGCTGTGCCCAGCATGGCACGGGACAGTGCCAGCCCTGCTGTGCCCAGCAATGGCAGGGGACAGTGCCAGCCCTGCTGTGCCCAGCCATGGCAGGGGACAGTGCCAGCCCTGCTGTGCCCAGCCATGGCAGGGGACAGTGCCAGCCCTGCTGTGCCCAGCCATGGCAGGGGACAGTGCCAGCCCTGCTGTGCCCAGCATGGCAGAGTCCCGGGCAGGGCAGGGCTCTCTCTCTCTCTCTCTCTCTCTCTCTGTCCCAGCCCTGCTGTGCCCAGCCATGGCAGGGGACAGTGCCAGCCCTGCTGTGCCTAGCCATGGCAGGGGACAGTGCCAGCCCTGCTGTGCCCAGCATGGCAGAGTCCCGGGCAGGGCAGGGCTCTCTCTCTCTGTCTCTCTCTCTCTCTCTCTGTCCCAGCCCTGCTGCGCCCAGCCATGGCAGGGGACAGTGCCAGCCCTGCCGTGCCCAGCCATGGCAGGGGACAGTGCCAGCCCTGCTGTGCCCAGCCATGGCAGAGTCCCGGGCAGGGCAGGGCAGGGCAGGGCTGGCTCTCTCTCTCTCTCTCTCTCTCTCTCTCTCTCTCTCTCTCTCTCTCTCTCTCTCTCTCTCTCTCTCTCTCTCTCTCTCTCTCTCTCTCTCTCTCTCTCTCTCTCTCTCTCTCTCTCTCTCTCTCTCTCTGTCTCTCTGTCTCTCTCCCCCCAGGCTGTGCAGTACTCACTGATGGCCGGGGCGATGCCTCCCACGGAGCCGGGCCCGGGGATGTTGCCGGCCACGGCTGCAGCCTGCGCGGCAGCGGCGGCCTGCGCGGTGGCCGCCTGCTGCTGCATCTGGCGGTGGCACTGGCGCAGGTCGAACACCTGGAACACAAACACGCAGAGCTCGCAGCTGGTTTGCTGGCAGCAGCAAACCCTCCCCACACGGTAATTTCCAACAGTTTATTCCCAATCCATCGCAGCCGATTCTTACAGACTCTTCTCCTGCTGTCACCCACCACTGGCATGAGCAAAACTGCCCAAAGCAGGACCTTGTGCAGACCACAGTCTGAAGGGTGCCACAGGCAGATTAAACCCCTGCTTCTTTGTTAAATCCCAGGATTTCCAGAAAAATGGGCATATAAATTAAAAAAGCCAGCAAGTCCCACGTTATCCCACTGAAGTGTGGTGGTCTATCTGAGAGAAATACCAATAATGACAGCCCAAGGCTGTGGGTTTCAGTCTGTACCTTTGTGATCACTGTGTGCCACTAACATATGTGCAGAACTCTGTTTTCATGTCAGAAAGCTCACGCACAGAGCTCAGGGGGTTTCTTTCACCTTCACTGCACAACTGCCTCCAAAACTGATGCTTAAAAAGCCAAACCACTGTGAACTTCAAGCAGGTTAAGACAAGTCTGCTTTTTTATGAGTGTGCCTTGTCTGTGTAAGTTCACAGTCTGTCAGAGGCACGTCCATGTAAGAACCTCCTCAAAATGATTTGTTTTGTGCAGCTCCCTCTGATCTCTGGATCCCTTCACATTCATGACACTTTAACACACGCCCTAAACTTCTGCTGCGTTTATAGTTACTTTCACAACTCTGCCTTTTTTGGAGAAAAGAAACAGATTATGCTCTTTTCTATGAAACACAAGGCTAAAAATTTTAGTTGCAGTTAATTAAAACCCGCTAAAGCTAAAAATACCAAGAACTGCTATCAACGCTGCTTGTGATGAAGTACAAAATCCACTTTCAGAGCACCCAGAAGACACCTTCAGTTTAGAGTCGTTTTGCAAGCCACCTTTGTGTGCATTACAAATGGAACTTGCTGGGGGTTGTGAAAGCGAGGCTGGCTTTGTTTCAGCTCCTCCCTGCCACTTCGGGGACAAATCGCCGGGATTTGCAGCGGCAGACCCACCTTGATGTAGGCGCTGGGGTAGATCTTGTGCACAGCATCCCCCGGGGCACGGCCCGCCTCCCTGTCCAGGTAGTAGCTCTGCACGAACACGGCGTGGTCGCTCAGGCAGCGCACCCACACGTCGCCCTCGCCCTTGCACTCCAGCTGCACCCCCTTGCCGATGTGCAACCTGCAAGGGAACGGGTGTCAGTGGGCATGCAGCCGCTGCGGCGGCACCCGTGCAGCTGGGAGGGAGCGCGGGCTGCAGCCCCATCGGCACCTGATCACACAGGGGCCCTGGCAGCACGGAGCTGGGACAGCAGCACAGCATGTCTGCAGCCC